TTGTGATACCTTGTGTTGCAATTAAATATACACCTGTATCATTTTATCACAACACAAACACCAAAACAATTTTTTACATAAGTCGATTATTTACAGTTTTGCATACCTTCATTTTTTTACCTTTTCGCAAAAAGGCGCAATTACAAATTTGCTAATATTTGTTATTTATTAACTCAATACAGTTTTATCTTTTAGATTTAGTCAAAAAATATTTTTTTTTGTGCACGGATACTGATTTTGGTGTGTTTTAACAATTGAATTGTGTATTTTTATCGGTTTAATATTAATTTGAGAAACATTTGCGCAATTATCGCAGGGCCTACAAATTTAGTATCACCATCTTTTTATTCTACCGGGCCTGCGCTTTCAGAAAATATGTTTGGGGGGTCTTTTACAAACGCTAGCAACGCAGCAGTTGAAAATCAAATCAATAGGAAAAAATTGCAGAAAATTCAAAAATGGCTTGGCCAGCTGATTTGAAAAATGTTCCGGAGGGCTTGGCAGCGAAAGGGTTAAAGGATTTCATGCAGTTACAAAAACAATCACTCTCCCTGGATACACGATTGATAGTGATTGATTCCTAACTGCATGTAATCCTTTCATATGATTGCATGCGGTGTGCAGGCGTTTACATGCAGCAGCTATCACCCGATCATTAATTTGAATGGGTGACAGTTGCCGCTTGTAACATGTTCGTACATTAAAACTGGTACCGTATATAGTAGCGGCCCCCACGGGACTAAAACATTTGTCCAGTGGCCCCAGACTAAATTGAGTTTGAGACCCCTGTTCTAGACATTGAGCACAAGGTATATAGACCAGGAAAGTCAGAAGTTCCTGTGTGCATGCTTCTTCTGGATTATCAAGAGTCAGGCACCTGGGATTTACAGAAGAAGTCGGCAATAGCAGCTACCATGTTCTCCATGGAAAGGAGTCTTTGAAATGTCAAACGTAAAATAACTATGTATGTTCTTGCATACAACAGCAAGGTTACTACATTAATCTACTAATCATTTAACTCACCTTGGAACAATATTTTTTTTACATCTGAGAATTTCTTCCAGATTTCTGCCAGAACAGAACACTAACACACATTATGGTGAGAGTGAAAGAAAGCAAACCCCACAATTGCCATGTTTTGGTGTGTCAGTCCCTAACTCTACTCCATAGAAGCCATGGTTTCCATACGCGGTAACATTTGTGGCCCAATCGTCATTTTTGCAGGTAGGTGCACCAAACACGTTTGAATGTGTGTGTACATGGTGAGCAGGGAACTTTAACTCTCTAGATCTGAGTGGGCGTCTCTACGGAATAAATGTCAGTCAAAGGACTGCAGCGCTGAACACTGAAAAATGGCCTGGCCAGGAAGGGGGTCTAAACACCTGGTCTTGAAGTGGTAAAAACCGTTCTTTGTGTTTAACATTTTTTAATATGCGACTCATTTTTCAACTTTTTTTTTTACACAACTTTATTGCCATCACATAGGGGGATAACAAGCCCCCTATATGATAGCAAAGAGGATGTGACAGTTCCCTTTATGGAGACATCAGGGGTCTATTAGACCGCTAATGTCCCCTATAAAACCCAAAGAAGCCGCAGAAATGACGCACTGAAACTAGAGGTGATCTAACACACATCACTTCCAGTGATCGGAGGGTAGTATAGTTGCTGAAAGTGTGCTGATTTCCCTCCAATTGAGGTACAAAGACCCGCTGTGCTGGTCCCACACATAAGGGACAATGGAACCCAGCATAGCCTGCAGCAGCAGGGGGAGAGGGCTTAGGGACACACTACCCAGCACCATACAATCAATCGGGCAGCTCTATAACATTTTCCCATGCTATAATGATTAAGGGCCTGGAGAGTAAACGTAATTGACCCTGTCTGTACTGTACTGGCAAACCTCATCAGTTATAACCTTGATTTGAACACTGTCTGTACTAACAAAAGGTTAAAGGGCTTTAAGTGACATTAAACCCTCAGATTTTTTAACATAAAACAATACTGTAATGTGTGCCTTACTGTAATCCATGGTTGTTTCCCTTCTCTTTGCTGCTCTTCCTTTTAAATTTGCTGGTCTTCCTTTTAAATCAGTATCTGTTCTCATGCTGGGCAGAACTTCTGTTTTGCAGCAGACTGCCTTGTCTCTGAAATGGGTACATGGTGTCTGTGTGTAGGTTTGCAACCTGAGCCAGCACTACAGGAAGAGGCAGTCAGCTGCAAAAGGGAAGTTCTCCCCCAGCATTAGAAGAGATAAATATTTAAAAGGAAGAGCAGCAAAGAGAAGGGAAACTACTATAGATTACAGTAAGGCACACATTACAGTATTGGTTTATGTTAAAAAATCTGAGGGTTTAATGTCACTTTAAGGGCTGGGTTCTGCATTGCAGGTTAATAGGGAAACTCAGTCTGTTCCTGTTTTGTCTCCTTCCACTTTCACTTTGAAATTGCTCAGCATGCAGTCTGCCCAAAGAAACAACTAGAAAAAGGAAGGAAATATTTTTTAAAAATTGACTGCACTTTAAGGTCATCAGGAGAACCATTGTTTCCAAATGTTCTATTACAGGGGTGGGCAACTCCGGCACTCCAGCTGTGCTATAACTACACATCTCAACATGCCTTCACCTCCCAGTCTTGCAATACCTCATGGGACTTGTAGTTCCACAACAGCCAGAGGGTCAAAGTTGCCCATCCCTGTTCTATTAGAACCCCCAATTCTTTACAACCACTAATTAACTTCCATGAGCCCTGGAGCACTGCCCCACTTGTGGACCCAAGATGGTGGGTGTCAGCAGGGAATGTAGGAGACAATCAGCACACATCTGCTTACTGATTACCTCTGCACTGAATTAAGTTGGAACAAGAACTTTGTCACTTCCCTTTTTTGTCATGGGAATGACCGTTTAAAATCTGGGAGAGAAAAAAAAAAAAAGCCAAAACTGACACATTCCACGCTAAACTCCAAAAATGGACTAGACAAAATTATTGACACCTTCTCCAAATTGCAAGAAATACATGCATTCCAAGTTCTTGTGGAAAAACATGGACAATCTCAAAGGTTACAAGTCCATCTCCAGAGATCTTAATGTTCCTGTGTCCACTCTGCGCAACATTGCCAAAAAGTTTACAGCCCATGGCACTGTAGCTAATCTCCCTGGACGAAATAGAACAATTGATCAAAGATTGCAATGAAGGATCGTTCAAATGGTGGAAGACCCTCGATCAACTTCCAGACAAATTCAAGTTGACCTTCAGGGCCGGTTCACACCACAAAGGTTGCATGCCACAGCGTCCGGCCGGCTCCCTGTCACTGCAGCAACGCCCCCCGCCAGCACCCAGAAAGCAGGCACATTAGTTGGTCGATAATTTTTTTCAATCACATTAAAAAAATGGAATACCAGCTTTAAAATCAAATACACAAACGCAGGGTCACGAACAAAAGTTTATTTCAGAACAAAACTGCATGCCCAATTTTTGGCACTCGCACTGCACTGGAACGCACGGTATTGCTGTACCATGCATTCCAGTGCGGGCAATCACACTGCGGGTGGGAGGCGCATTTGGGGTGCCATTTAAATGAATGGCACAGGAACACACGCAGCAGAATTTGTCAGGCTGAAACCGAACTGACTTTTTCCCACCTTTTCTAAGAAAAAATATTTATCTTTATTATAAGCACATGGCTCTTGAATGGCTTCAGCCAGGGAATGACAGCTGCCAGTGGCAAGATTCCACAGACAGCAGCTGAATGTAAATACAGCAGGTAGTGGGCTGGTGCAAAAGCCAGCCTGCTATTGGCCATCTCAAATTGCAATAGGCAATAGCAGGCTGGCTATTGTACCCGCCCACTACTTGCTATGCCCTCTTCCCTGTGTGGAGCAGAGAGCTAGGGGATCCAACCAACTAATCGATGAGAATAGTTGACCACTATTCTCATTATCGATCAATTAGTTGGTTGCAGCCCTATACAAAATAGTAAAGAAAAATAATAATCACCGACACTAAAAAAATCCTTTATCCTACCCGAAGGGTTAGTTCACACCAGAAACTGTATCAACTGCATCCGTCTGCACAGTTGCATTGCGATCGGTTTTGCTGCGTTTGTGATGCATTTTTTATGCGTTTTCCCCCCCTGCATGTCCCTGGATGATGCCACAATCAATTCTGTATTTTTTTTGTATGTGTTCTGTTGCGTTTCAGTGCGTTTTGATGCAGTTTGATGCAGTTAAAGTAGGACAAGCAGTACTTTTTCTCACTGCAGTTGAATCGACTGCAATGGTGTGAATTAGGCACAAGAAGCCCATAGGAAAGCATTGTGATGTATTTTGACTGCAGCAGTCAAAATAAACAGACTGCATCACAACTGCATATGGTGTGAACCGACACCCAAGCGCTTTGTCGCATGGTTCCCAAAGCGCAACAATGCTCACCTTTTTTCTTTTCAAGAGATGCATAAACTTCAATGGAAGCGCCTGAAAAACCCCATGCAATGTGCATTTCTCATGTGATTTTGCACCCAACAATTATCTCCTCCTAGTAACTAGTATTCCATTGGCTAAAACAAACGCTCATGTCTAAAGGCCCTGTTCACACCTGGGCAGTTGCGGCTCAGTGCAGTTTCCCGCGAATTTTAAAAAGGTGGTTTTGGGTGTTTTTAATCGCGTTTCAGTGCTGAAACGCAATTACAAACGCCCAAAATCACGCTCAGCAATGCGGTTCCATAGAAAGCTGATCAGCGCGTAAAAAAAGGCTCAGGGAGCAATTCAGGCAGGAGGCGATTCAGATCGCGCAGAGCCACACGATCGCATGAACCGTCCCCATAGCAATGTATGTGATAGCTCATGTCCGTGTATACGCGCGACCGAACCACCCTGATGTGACCGGGGCCTAAAAAAATAAACCACCAAAAAAAAAGTACACACGTAGGGCTTCAAAATTGCCTGAAAACACTCATGCTCGAATGTGAACATGGGCAAAGACCAACACTTACACTAACCTATGTAAAGCCGTAAACTATATTATCTCAATATTGGGGTTGTTGTTTTTT